TCAGGAAATGGCAGTAACAGAGACAGAAATTTACATATCCTTGGCACAAATCAAGAGCAAGGCAGAAAGGGAAGCATAAAGTCAAAACATATGTGATAAGCAGAGGGAACATTTCTGCAGCTGATTTCACAGCCAAAGGCTGCTCTTCCTGACATAAAGAGCTCTTGATAAAATGAGGAAGGGGGATCAATAGCGGGGCACAGCGATGCATACCTGTAATCCCAGCACTCAAGAGGCTGAGGCAGGAGGATTGTTCCGAGTCCGAGGCCAGCCTGTGCTACATAGTGATGTCAACACCAGCCTGAACTACATAATGAGACCCTGTCTCAAAAAACAAAGAAAATGGTCAGGGATTTAGCTCAGTGGTTCCGGCGCCTGCCTCACAAGCATAGGGTCCCAAGTTCGATCCCCGGTACCAAAAAAAAAAGAAAAGGAGAAAAAAAAGGCCTGATAGAAAAAATGGAGACAAAAGACCTGGATAGACAGGTCACAGCAAGAGGGCTCCGAGGGTTTAAGAGAATTGGCCCTTGCCCTCCTGGGAGGTGCACTGTCCTCCCCTCAGGCCCTGCTGCCCACAGCCAGCCCTGTACCTACTGGGCGCCCTGGGCTGAGAGACCTGCCCTCCCCTGGGGCATGGATGCTGGAGGCATGGTCTGGCCAAGTGTGCACCCTGAAGCTGCAGAGCCCAGGGATTCAAGGTGTTCTCAGCAGCGCCTGCAGGGCCACCAGGGCAATGGGCCCCAGGCTCCCTCTCCCCCAGCCTGCTCTCCGGAGCACTGTTCAGGGAGCAGGGGGTGCGGACTGCCACCTCCTGGAGAGAGAAAAGGCTGCTCCACCAGGGCAAGAAAATGGGTGCCACCCACCCAATGCAGCCATAAATGGGCGAAGGTGATGGGGCCTTTCAGCAGGGCACAGATGCCACCCAGGATGTGCCTCATGTACCCCACCATCTCCTGCCTGGACCCCAGGGAGGGGTGGGGACACAGGGAGCACAGTGGGCCCGCTGAGTTATGTCTCAGTGTGGGGAAGCTGAGGGAGCTGCATCTATGAGGCAGGGGATCAGAGATGAGGGAGCTACACAGAGGGGGGATTCAGAAATGCACATGTGGGGGCAGGCCTGGTGACACACACCTGTCATTCCAGCACTCCAGAGGCTGAGACAGGCAGATCTTGAGTTTGAACCCAGCCTGGACAACTTAGCAGCTTTGAAATAATCAAGGGCCAAGTTTTCCCAAATATGATGAAAAACTTAGCTTTCAAATCTAAGAAGTAGTTCACAAAATTCTAAGCAGAATACACACACACACACACACACACACACACACACACACACACCCCAAATGCTGAAACCAAAGATCAAAATAAAATCATAAAAGCAGTCAGAGGAAAATAAAAATGTTACATAAAGGAGAGAAAAAATAAATAAATACCACTGGCGTCTCCTTAGAGACAACACGAGGCTAAAGCCCATCCAATGGCAGCACAAGTGCCGAGAGAAGAGAAAGGCAGCACCCAGCATCCAGCGGGCGTCCTTTGGAACCCAAGGAGGCATCAGGTCCAGCCGAGGGTCAGAGGGAGAAACACAAGGAGAGGCTACACCCACTGCAAACTGACTGGGGTGGCCGTGGGAAGAACTGAGCCCAAACCCAGGCCCAGGGACAGATGGCCACATGGAGGGAAAGGCCGTCGGGAGTCTAACCTGGGACTGCCCCTGAGTGCCGTTCCCACCGGCAAGGAAGCTGGGGAGAAGCCGAAGCCCGGGGTGGGCACGCAGGGCAGAAGCCCAGCGCAGAGGGAGCGGAACCTGAGAGGCTGCACGCACGTGTCACTGTGCAGCAGGAGGAGAGGGCTTAAGAGAAACACTCGAAAAGACGAAGACTAAACCTTTCCAAAACTAGTGCCAGACGCAAGGCCCAGGCCCAGAAGCCCAGGGGCCGCAAGGGAGGAGGAGCAGCTGAGACACCACCGCTGCTAGGGAGCCCGGCTCGCAGGCCTCCGGTGACACCAGGGGACAGGACTCAGTGTCTGCAGAGAAGCAGGGGGGCCTCCCAAGGCGTCCCCAGACCCCGCACGGCAAGAAGACAGGGAAGTGACACCTTTCACTAAAGAAAGACTTAGGCCAGGCATTGTGCACACCCGTCGTCCCAGCACTCTGGGAGGCTGAGGCAGGGGTGTCACAAGTTTGAGCCCAGCCTGGGTAACTTAGCAAGAGCGCACCTCAAAATGTAAAAGAATAAAAAAGTAAATAAAAATTAAAAGGCTGAGGATGCAGCTCAGTGCCAAGGCCTCGGGTTCCATCATCAGCTTAAAAAGAATACTAAAGTTTGAGGAGGGGGATGGGATAAAATAAAATTTATTTAAAATAAGAAAATAAAAGTACGGAGAGAGCAATGAATTCTTTCTGGAACAGATCGGAGAGAACTCTGCCAGAAGTCCTACTCTGCAAGAATGGTAAGGATGGAAGGAATATTAAATGGACAGAAACAGGATCTAGACAAAGCACCGAGAGCAGACATGGAATTAGCAAAGTCAAAATGAACTTGTATTTGCCTTGCTCTGAAAGCTCCCTGACCATGCAAAGGGGCAGCGGCCCTGATGCACTGTGTCTGCCCCTGAAGACGAGCTGCATCCTCACCCAGCAGAGGGAGGTGGGAGGGACCGCACTGTCCCCAGCCCTCATGCCCACCTGGCGCAGGGACGGCTGTGAAGGTAGGCACGGGTACTTTGTAAACTGCAGAAAAGCCACTAACATATCTTCAAAATGTATCAATAATCCAAGAAAGGAGATAAAATGGGGTAATAAAAATGCTGTGGTCAGATCAGAGAAGGCAGGAAAAGAGGGGAAATGAGACAAAAATCAACATGGGGAGCAGCATTGTGCTATGGCTTCGTGCCTGAGTTTCCACTCGCAGGAAGACAGTGGACAGAGGAGCAAGCCAGATGCCATGAGCAGGGGACAAACCCAGGAGCAGCAACCTGGACAACTGCCCAGCTTGCAAAAGCCAGCATCACCTGTAACCCCAGCACCCAGGAGGCTGAGACGGGAAGATCACCAAGAGTTTGAGGCCAGCCTGGGCTACATAGTGAAACCCTATCTCAAACCTCCTCAACAAAAAATAATAAATTCCAGGGCCGGGGATTTAGCTCAGCGGTTTTGCTGCCTGCTGCGCAAGCACAAGGACCCGAGTTCGATCCCTGGTATCAAAAAGTAAAAAAATAAAAATAAATTCCAAAAAAGTCAGCATCATAAGAAAAGGTAGAGCAACTAGATTTAACCAACGACTTTGAATCTAGAAGGGACGGGCTATTCTGGGTTAAGAGATACTAAAGAGACACACCAGTGACATGGTGTGGGCTGCTTGATTAGATCTTGGTTCACCCACAGGCCTGGTGGTGCACACCTGAGATCCCAGCACTCAGGAGGCTGAGGCAGGAGGATCACTGTGAGCTTGAGGCCAGCCTGGGGTACATAGTGAAACCCTGTCTGCAAAAACCTAAAAATAAAAATAAGTAATGAGTCTTGGCTCACATTGCCAGGACACAGGAGATCTGGGAAGATCCGGACGCCCTATGTGGAGAGGGACCAAGGCCCCTGAGAACAGACTGTGAAGGCGGTGCTGGGAAGTGTGTGGCAGGCCGGAGCACAGAGCAGGGCCCAGACTCCACAGCAGCGCCTACAGCATGTTGTGAATGTGCACTGGCGAGAACCCAGGGAGGGAGAAGCGGGGCGGGGACCCACGTGGCTGTGGCGCGCTGGGTGGAGGGGCAGTGTCCTCCAGGCTCCTCTCCATAATGCTGGCCCACCATGAGGATTTTCATCATCAGGAAAGCCTCCATCTGTCCTCAGATCAGACTTCCAAGAGGCTTGGCCACCTGGCGCCCAGGCAAGGCGGCAGGAGCGGAACCACGCTACTGCCACTGGCCCTGCCCACAGCTCTGCGTCAGAGGCATCTGCTGAAGGAGCAACATCCACCTTGCCATCTGCTCAGACTTCCACCTGGGGGTCTGTTCTGTTTGCGAGGAGCTGACCACACCCATCCTGCAGGCTCCAACCCCCAGACCAGAGCTTCAGGGCGCCCAGGGGACCCTGAGCCCCATGGCTCGGCATGAATGAAGTCCACTGAACAGGGGTGCTGGCATGTGACTGGTGAACGGGGGATGTGGGGCCACGAGGCCTGCAGAGGTTACCGGACGAGGTCCAGGGACATCTGGGCTCCCTGGAGCGCACCGCACCTGAAGCCAGAGCTGCCCCTCGGCTGCCCGTGGCAGAAGCAGACCCACTCACGCTGCTTCTGTCACTTGCAAGTGGGAGGATGGGAAGCCACAGCATCCTGTGGGCGACCCCAGGCCCTCACTCGAAGGCTCAAAATGGGGAACGTTCATACTCTAGTCTGAGATCAGTATCTCGCTTCCCAGATCCCAGGAGCGTAGACCCCGCCAGCTTGGAGAGGAAGAGGACTGCAGACAGGCATGGCGACCTCGTGAGCAGATGGGCCCCACACGAAAGAGGAAGCACAGATGCCAGCCTTGCACCCAACTTGCAAAATGCAAATTAAAACCATAACAAGATACCTCTTCCCTCCCACAGGCTGGCCGAGGTTCAGAACAAGGCTGATACCAAGTGCTGGCAAAGCTGTCTAACACCTAGAATGCTTCCATGCTGCCAGGAAGGGTGGAACATGCAGGATACACTCCAGACAGCCACTGTGCACGTGTGTGTGTGTTTACAGGTGTGTGCACATGCGTGTATATGGACACATATCTTCACATAGGTGGCACAGGTGAATAACAACTGCGGGGTATGCAAGGGTCCTTGTTCTCTACTTCTTCCAACTTCTCTGTTTGCTTGAAAATTCTCTACAATAAGCTGGAGAAAATAATCTAAAAGAAGGCGAAAGACCAAGAGATAATTCCGCTGGGGAGGTGGAATAAAAAGAATTCAGATGTGTTAAGCGCACCAACTCCCCATGAGTAATGGGAGCATTACATCTGCAAACATGTGCTAATGAAAACTTTTTAATGTTTAAAGAATAAAAGAAGGCAAAAAGGTATAAGAAATATACACAAAATCAGAGCAAATAGCACGAGATAAAGCAGTAACTTCCAACTTCAACGCATTCGCCATTACATTAAACAAAGCAGAGCATGGGCCCAAGCCTGGGAGGTCGAGCAAGCATGGGCCCTTTGGGAGCAAAGGGGCGCAAAGCTGGGCTCTGCAGAGGGCAGGACCGGGACAGCTGTCACCACAATGCCAAGGGCCCCAGACGGTGCTGTGGGGCACCCGCTAGAAGGTCTCAGCCCGGGCTGGCAGAACCCCCACCACTGCCCGGCTCTGGTGCACTCACACACTGCCTGCCACACATGCTGCAGGAGCAGGGCGAGCCTGAGCCGTCCAAACTGGGGACAGCCTCATTGGTGGACAGGACCCTGCGAGGGGAGAGGCAGAGCAGCTCAGGCAAGGGCCAGGCCAGGAAGGGTGGACCGCTACAGTGGCTCTCCTCCAGACTGGGCAGGGAGCCCCAGGGGTGCCCATCGGCACTGGCTGTGGGTTTCCTGGCTGTTCTAAGATCAGGAACAACCCTAGTAGGTGGCACCGCTCCTCATTGACCCTAGAAAAGTGCAGACACCAAGAGGCTGCTCAGGGTCAAAAGCTGGACACCTTTGGACTATGCCCTGGGTCACTCCCACCTGGAACTGCGACCCGGGGGTGCAGGCGCACCAGGGAGCCTGGCCTGGGAGTGCTGGAGCATGAGCTTTCCTCCCTAGGTCAGCCCACTTCCTGCATCTGTCTGCCCTGGGGTCTCTCAGCTCCAGTCCTGACCTGGGCCTCTGCCCACCTGGCCTCCTGCTCCTTTGGACCCAGGCCCTCCAGGGGCAGATGCAAGGCCTCAGCTGCCACCTTCGCGTGCACAGAGGTCAGGCTCCTGCAGCGGGGCTGAGGGCACCTTCCCCTGCACACGAGCCCCGGCCATCTGACTCTGGCCCCAACCCCCATGTGTGGTCACAAGGGCCCAGGAGACAGCGCCCAGTCCCACAGAAGCAGGGCCTTCAACAGCCTGTGGCGCTGTCCTCAAGGCCCAGACCGGCCGGGCGCTCTCCACCCCATGTCTGTGCGGAAACAGGGGAAGCTGCCTGGTGGGCACCGCAGAATGGAGACATTGATGGAGACACTGAACAGAGGAGGTTCGGACAGGCACAGGGGCCAGAGCAGAGGGGCCTTGCCACACCTCGGCCACCACCAGCCCAGCACCCGCAGGCGGAGGCAGCGGTGACATGCAGCCTCTGAGGAGCAGGCCAGCAGTGTCAGGCGCCCTGTGATCCCACCTCCTGAGCACCGTGGTCAGTCCGTGCCAGAACAGCACAGGCAGTGGGGGCTCGATGGCAGGCAGAGCTGCTCTCCACTCATAGCAAGGACAAGAAGTCGCACAGCCCACACAGCCCTCGGCTCCTTCCAACACTGGGACCTCCTGTTCCTGCGCTGGCCTGACTTTCACCCACACTTCCCACTCTAAAATAAAACCCTAAGGTCCGGGGATTTAGCTCAGTGGTTCCGTCGCTTGCCTGGCAAGCACAAAGACCTGAGTTTGATCCCTGGTACAAAAAAAAAAATAAAAATAAAATAAAATAAATCCTGGGAGACCTAAACTTGGTAGTGTGTGCCTATAATCCCAGTACTCAGGAGGCTGAAGCAGGAGGATCACTGTAAGTTCAAGACTGCAGGTTCAGTCTGGGCTACATACTGAGTCTAAGCCCAGCCTGAACTACATAGCAAGACCTTGTCTCGACCAATAAATAAGAAAAAACAATAATGAAAATAAGTCAATAACTTCTGGGGGAAATGAAAACACAGTCTTTAAAGGCTGGTGAGTTGGTAAAGGAGTTTGATTCATGAGGGTCAAATGCTGGAGCTCTTCCCGGGTGAAGGCACTAGCAGCCTTCAGCCCATCCCTGGCAGGAATGCCGCTCACTACCAAGATGCAGTGGACAGACAGCTGGCTCCTGCCCCATGGCACATCTTCAATGCCCCACAGGAGAAGTTGCACTCGATGAGCCGTGTATCACATGACTCAGGTCCTGCGGCACCCTGGAAAGACAGAGCTGGGGTGACAGGGGTCAGGTGCATGGGAATCAGGGATAAAAGGACTGTTCTGCTGTCACGGTGGTGGTGGAAAGAGCTGTGTGGACAGCCACCTCTCGGCACTGAGCATTGGCCTCAGGAGACTGGATTCACATTGTGCAAGCCCTTGGGCCCAGGTGCAGAGTCTACAGGTGACAGGCCACATCCTCCTGGGCGTGCTATCATCTCCAGGCAGCACATGACACTGCTGTCTAATAAATGGTGATGAGGGAAGGTTGCAGCGCCTGGACGGGTTCCCAAATGCTGCCACTCACCAGTTTGCTGAACCCAAGAAGTGCGGCCTGTGGTGCCCAGAAGAAGGGAGAGGGTGGTGCAGGCAAAATCTGCAGGATAGGGGTGCAGCACATGGTGGGCAATCCTGTCCGGGATGATTCAGAGCAGACTTCTGGGAAGACGGCGGAGTGGTGAACAGCAGGGAAACAGCCTCTCTGAGATTTGGTGTCCAGAAGCTGGAATACAGCAATGTGAGGAAGAGAAGGAGGGAAGTGGGCACTGGGACCCACCAAGAACCTGAAGTGAGAATTAAAGGCCATGGGGAGAGCAAAGAGAGAGACCTCAATGCAGCAGAGAAAGGTGGCAAGTGGTGCTTTCTCTTGAGCCCTGGCTCACTTGGTGGGAGGGGCAGCTCAAACCTGCAGAAGCACAGTGACTATTGGTGACCCTAGAGGCCTCCATGGAGAAATGCACCAGTGGAATGCAGCAGTGGGCTGCAGATTGCAGTGGCTGTTGAGTTATTTGGGTTCAGACATCATCCAGGAGAGGGCAATTGGCCAGTAGCCATCTTGGAGAGGGGCCAACTGAGTTTGGAAATCAGAGAAGCTGCAGGCTTCATTTAGTAGCTTCCAGTGTCAAGATGAGGCAAAAATGAGCTCAAGCCAGCAGGAGGCACATGGAGTGTTGTAGGCTGAACAAATCAAGTTCTAACCTTACAGCTAGAAACCAGCCTGAACTTCAGTGGAACTAAAAGTGCAGGTTTGCTAGAATTATCCACTGCCCCACCATAAAATCTACAGTTGGCTTGCTGGGATTAATCAATACAGATCTGGGCTCTGTCCACCCACTCTGTCTACCAGTGACAGCAGAGATATACCTTAAAGTGGATATTTTTTTTCTTTTTTCCCTTCTTGTTTTGTTTTGTTTTTTCTTTATCACTTGTTCTTGTTTTTGTGAACATTGCTTCTACTTTTCTTGTTATTGTTGTTTTGTTCTTTTATTTTTTTGTACTGAAGATTGAATGCAGGACCTTGAGCTTGGCAGGCAGGTGTTGTGCCACTGAGCTGAATTCCCAGCCCAGTTGTTCTGTTCTGTTCTTGTTTTTATTTCTTCCTTCTCTCTTTCCCTCTTGTCTTCTTCACTCGTTTCCCAAAGTTCACATAATCTTCCTTTGTCCTTAAGATTTGCTTCTAATTTTTTCCTCTTCTTCTATTTCTCTGATTTTTCCCTCAACCCCTTTTAAATTTTCTCCCCTGAGGGTAAAATTGCCATAGTGAGGGGACTTCTGCCCAAAAGCAGACTTCTCCTGGAAGAGCCTGAGACTTCTGGCTAGTTTTCTCCTTATGGTTTCCATGAGATCTGCGGCTGTGTGGAAATGGCTTGTGCCACTGCATGGTCCCCAGCAGACCAAGATGGATTTATTTGTATCTACCCTGATTATTTAAATAATAAGAAAACCATCACAGAGGGGAGGCAGATCCCGATAAGTAAGGCTGTTGAAAATCCTACAGCTACCGAGATTCAAGATGTATGCTCAGCAGTTGGACTCAATGTATTTCTTGAGAAAAATAAAATGTACTCTAGGGAATGGAATCATGATGTTCAATACAGAGGCAGAGTCCAGGTCCAACTTGAGCAGGAAGATGGCAGCCTCTGCCTGGGACAGTTCCCATCGTGTAAATCAGTAATGTTGTATGCAGCAGAAATGGTACCTAAACTGAAAACAAAGACACAGAAAACAGGAGGTGGTGACCCAAACCTTCAGCAAGGAGAGGGAAGTAAAAGAGGAAAAGGAAAGAAGAAGAAGTGATCCACTGTGAGCATCAAGTATGTGACCCTACTTGAGGGACATGATGGAGGCTTCTTTGTAGCTGAGGGAAAACGCTTTTCATTTGCATCAATCATGTGCACTGTGAACATTTATGCTCCCATCTTCATCATCGGAGTTGACAATGAAATGAATACATCAGAAGTACAGCACATTGAAAATGTACATCCAGCTGTTATGCAGTATGAAGGAAAAAATTTTCACTGGGGATTTAGCTCAGTGGTTCCGCCGCTTGCCCCCCAAGTGCAAGGATGCAAGTTCCATCCCCGGTACCAAAAAAAAAAAAGAAAGAAAAAATTTTCTGTTCTTCAATGAAGAGTTTTTGTGGAAGAATAAATATTTTTAAATGGACAATGGACTATTGCAGAAGTTAACAGAAATCTGTATCTGTCCTCTGTGCAAGCATGTATTTCAGATAAATAAGTTTAATAACTTTTGAAATATACATTTTGTTCACCTTTTAAGTTAATGAAATAAGTTTTTAAACTGAAAAAAAATTTCCATAGTGAGGGCATACTTACTACATACAATTTTCTGGTTTGTTTCAGACTTTGCTATATAATGACAAATATAGTTCATACTATATTAAGGTTACAGGTGGCAAATTAATAGTTACCACAGTTTGTCATTTTCTAAGCTATGTTTAATGATATCATTATTGCTGATTGTACTACTTTAGCCAAGGTGACATAATTGTTCTAATCAGTTGTTCTTCCTCATATGCCAAGACTGAGATTGCCCAAGGGTCATAAACAATACTATAAGCCAGTGTCAAAGAACCAGGGGGTAGGCCAAATAGGCAGCAACTTCTAATCTCCAATAAATTGAAGAGGTAGAATTTTGCAACAGATTCAAAACCCAACATCCAGCTACACCTGGACAATGTCTCTGAGAAGTAGTCATTTCCTAAGGGTTCTAAATACTAACAATACCTGGACCAAGGATGTAGCTCAGTGGCACCACACCTGCCTGGCAAATGCAAGGTCCTGGGTTTGGCTCACAGAAAAAAAAAATAGTGAGGTGTGGTGGCACATGCCTGTAATCCCAGTATTCGGGCCTGAGCTACATACAAGTGAGTTCAAGGCCAGTCTGAACTATATAGTGAGACCCTGTCTCAACCCCCCCAAAAATAAATAAATACTAGCAATAAAGCTATCTGCCATAAGCAATTTACAAGAAATAACCCAGGAATTAAACTAAAAGAAAATGAGAAGACACTTAAGCAAGATGCAACCTCAGACTTCCAGCTTTCCAAAGGCAAACTCAGAGGGCAATGTGGTGGAACAATTTGAAAGTCACCCACCTGGATTCTCTGAAGTGGTAAAAGCAGAGGTAACAAAGCAGGTGAATCAGGCTCTAGAAAAACGTCAAATTGGAAATAATCTCTCAGATAACTACAGAGATGGTGACCATGATGAAAGACATAGTTAGTGACTCTAGAGAAGATACAGATTAAAAAAAAAAAGAGGAGCCCAGGGATTTAGCTCAGTGCTACCTCGTCTGCCTTGCAGGAGCAAGGTCTTGAGTTCAATCCCTGGTACTAAAAAAAAAAAAAAAAAAAAAAAAAAAAAAGAGGAGCTTAGAAAAATTATGGAAACTATGAATCCCCAACATAGGAAAGAAATGGAATCCATGAAACAGATTCAAAGAGATAGTCAGGAGATTAAAAATTCCATTGAAAGTATACACAGCAGAATGAACCAATATGAATATCAGATATAGAAGACAGGACTGCTGTTAGTGATCATGAAAAGAAAGATTTCTTAAAAATAGCAAAGGACCATAAAAAATCAATCCAACTGCTAGATGATGCAAAGAAGAATAACATAAGATTGATCAGAGTCAATAAAAAAGCTGGACATATGGCAAACAACATAAAAAACTTGTTCACAGAAGTAATGGCAGAAAAGTTCACAAGCAAGGAAAAAGAATTTGACATACAGATAAATGAGGCATATAGAACTCCAATTATCCATGATCAAAAAAAATGTACACCAAGGCATGTAATAGTCAAGATTCCAGAAACTCAACTTAAGAACAGAATATTAAAAGCTGTTAGAGAAAAGAAATAAATCACCTATAAAGGAAAGCCCATCAGAATCACAGCAGACTTTTCAACACAAACTCTCAAGTCAAGTATAGATTGAAGTGAAGTATTTTAAGCCCTAAAGAAGACAACCTCCAACCGAGATTTATATACCCTGCAAAACTATCTCTCACTGGGGATATAACATAGCAACACCTCACCTGCCTGGCAAACAAAAGGTCCAGAGTTCGATTCCTGGTACCAGAAAAGAAAAAAAAACTATCTTTCAAAATTGATGGAGAAATAAAATACTTCTGTGACACCCAAAGAAATTCACTACCACCAAACCAGCACTCCAAAATGTTCTGAAGGACACTCTAGAAAGAGATAACAAGGACTACAACTCCATGAGCCCCAACAGAATGAATCCACCAAGCAAGACAAGTAATTAAACTGAGGGGGAAAAAAGGGAACCAACAACAAGAAAATAACATGCCAAGGATAAGTCAATACATGTCAGTTACAACCATCAAAGTAAATGGTCCCAATTCACCAATCAAAAGAAAAAGACTGGCAGAATGGGTCAAGAAGCAAGATCCAACAATATGCTGTGTACAAGAAACATGTTTAATTCAAAAAGAAATTCATAGACTGAAAGCCAAAGGATGGAAAAAATACTCCATATGACAGGAACCCAGAAAAAAAGTAGAGGTAGCTATTCTATTTACAAACAAAATGGATTTTAAACTAACACTGATGAAGAGAGACAAAGAAGGTCACTATGTCCTTGTAAAAGGACCAATACAGGAAAAAGAGATAATAATCATAAATATATATGCACCAAACACTAGTGTAGGGAACAGGGAAAGGGGACATTACCAGAACCCCTGCAGTGAGTCCTGGTCTCCTGTGAGCTAGGACAGCACAAGGCAAATTAAAGAATAAAAACAGTAAACAAGACTTAGAGAAGAAGCTGAGCTTTGGGCCTGATCAATGCTGCTCTGGGCAGAAAAGATAAAGGCACCTGGAGCTTGCCACACCTTTATTCAGTATATCAGGAGTAACAGATGACACAGAGGGTGGCAATAATCCTAGGACAATGAGGAACTTATGCTGATAAAGATCCTAGGTCCATGAGGAACTTACCTTGGTTAGGAATTTGTCCCTCCCTGGGTGAAACTTTTCTCTTACTACTCTGTTCTCAAGAAACCAGGATGTCTTCAGCTGATGTAATCCTGCCCTGGAGCATCACAGCATCATGGAATCATTGAGGTCTTAGCTGTGACCAGAGGCAAAAAACGGAGTTATGTCTCAACATGCCATAGCCAGCCTGTAAGCAGGAAAACTAGGCCTAATCATAATTTAATTGTGAAAGAATTTTTCCCCAAAATTATGTAGAATTGCACCTGACATACCAGTATGTCCAACTACATAAAACAAATATTAAAATAAATAAATAAATTATTAACTGACATGAAAAATCAAACAAGCACTAAGACAATTGTAATGGGGGACCTCAGCACCTCTCATCACAAATAGACAGTTCAACTAGACAAAAAAGTCAACAAAGAAATATCAGAACAGAACCAAACTTTTGAACAAATGGACTTAGTAGAGTGTTCCACCCCACAACATCAGAATACACATTCTTCTCAGTTGCACATGGGACATTCTCCAAAATAGACCATATACTAGCTCATAGAACATGCTCAAGTAAATGCAAAGAAATTGAAATTATCCCATGCATATTATCAGACCATAGTGCAATGAAACTGGAAATCAATGGCAAAAGAAACCACAAGAACTTAAAAAGCACATGGATATTAAATAACACCCTCCTGAACAACCAATGGGTCACAGATGAAATTAAAGAAGAAATTAGACTATTTCTATAATTAAATGATAATGCCAAGACAACATACTGAAACTTACAGAACACAATGAAAGGAGTCCTGTGAGGGAAATTTCTACCAGCGAATTCCCATATTAGAACAACAGAGCAAGCTCAAATAAAAAACCTAATGTTGAACTTCAAGCTTCTAGAAAAAGAGGAAAAAGGCAAGCCCAAAACCTGTACAATGGAGGAAATTATAAAGATCAGAGCAGAAATTAATGTAATGGAGACTAAGAAAATACAACAATCGCTTCTCGGCCTTTTGGCTAAGATCAAGTGTGAAAATACAAAGAATCAATGAATCGAAGAGATAGTTCTTTGAAAGGTTAAATAAAAATGACAAACCCTTAGCCAACCTTATCCAAAAAAGGAAAGAAAAGACTCAAGTCCATGCAGTTAGGAATGAAAAGGGTGAAATCCCAACAGATCCTGCAGAAATCCAGAGGATCATCAATACCTACTTTGAGAAACTGTATCTAATAAGATGGAAAACAAGAAGAAATGGACAGATTCCTAGATACATATGAATTACCAAAACTGAATCAAGAAGATATTAAAAACTCTAAATAAACCAATATCAGTCAATGAAACTGAAGACGTAATCAAAAACTTGGGCTGGGGATTTAGCTCAGTGGTTCTGCTGCCTGCCCTGCAAGTGGAAGGACCCAAGTTCAAGCCCTGGTACCAAAACAAACAAAAAACAAAAATCAACCAACCAACAAAGAAAAGTCCAGGCCCTGATGAATTCACTGCTGATGTCTACAAGAAATTTAGGAAGACCTAATACCGCTACTCCTCAAACCCTTTAATCAAACTGAAAGGGAAGAAATATTTTCAAATTCATCCCTGGAAGCAAGCATTACTCTGAATCCAAATCCAGAAAAGGATCTAACCAAAAAAGAGAACTACAGGCCAATCTCCCTAATGAACATAGACACAAAAATCCTCAATAAGATACTGGTAAAGAGAACGCAGCAAATTATTAAGAAGGTTGTACACCATGACCAGTTTGGATTCATCTGAGGGATGCAAGGGTGGTTCAACATATGCAAATCAGTAAATGTAATACATTATATTAACAAAGCCAAGGGCTGGGCTGGGCGTGCCTGTGCCCCACCGCCTGGCAGCAGCGTCCCGACATCCGGGTACCGATGCCGGCCGCTCGACTCTGGCACTGTGGTCCTGGCAGTGGGGACGGCAGTGTTGAGGTGGAAAGGGCGGGCACCAAGGTGCAGGATTTCTGTAATTGGCCTGATGAAGCGTTTGATGAAATGGACAGTACACTTGCTGTTCAGAGGCATATTCAACAGAACATAAGGGCAGATTGCTCCAATACTGACAAAATCCTTGAACCACCTGAAGGCCAAGACAAAGGTGTGTGGAAGTGTGAACACTTAAGGCAATTCTGCCTTGAACTAAATGGACTTGCTGTTAAACTTTAGAGCGAATGCCATCCAGGTACTTGTACTCAGATGACAGCAACTGGACAATGGATTTTTCTTTGTGCTGCTCATAAAATGCCTAAAGAGTGCCCCATCATAGACTATACCAGACACACACTGGACGGTGCTGCCTGCCTTCTCAGTAGCAATAAATATTTTCCCAGCAGGGTTAGCATAAAAGAATCATCTGTAGCAAAACTAGGATCCGTGTGTCGTAGGATTTACAGAATATTTTCACATGCTTATTTCCATCACCGGCAGATATTTGATGACTATGAAAATGAAACATTTTTATGTCATCGGTTTACTAAATTTGTGATGAAATATAATCTGATGTCCAAGGATAACTTGATTGTACCAATTTTAGAAGAGGAAGTTGAGAATTCAGTTTCCGGGGAGAGTGAAGCATGAAGGGAACGGGAGAGATGCACGGCTCACGTAATTAACGTTAATTATGTACTGTACATACATCATTTTAGACACATCAATCATGTATCCACAGTCCAGCTTCTTTGTTTAGGGTAGGGTTTGTGTGCTGTGCATTACCTTTTAAATGGGAAATACTTAAGTTATTCATGAGCTGTATATTCACCAGTGTGGCACTCATGGTTTTTAAATAAGATTAGTATTATCTGTATATAATGCCTGCTAATAAAAGAATTTACTGTTTGGTAAAATTGCTGCTAAACAATCATTGGATCACAATCTTCATGAAATAAATCTATCTGTAAAAAAGATGAGTGAAAAAAAAAAAAAAAGATGAGGGAACTCAAGGTTTTGCACAAGCCGTTTACTAAAGTGGTGGTAAGGTTTTCCCAAGCTTAGATACATTAGAAAGTTTTGTAGTTTGTAATTCATCTTAACTGTTAACTTTTCCAGAATGAGATAAAAGTGTTAAAAAACAAAACCAAAGCCAAGGACAAAAATCCATATGATCATCTCAATAGATGCAGAAAAAGTGTTTGACAAAGTGTAACACCTATTTATGATAAAAACCCTACAGAAAATTGGAATGGATGGTCTTTATCTCAATCTGATAAAAGCCATCTGTGACAAATGAACAGCCAACATCATACTAAATGGACAAAAACTGAAAGCTTTCACTCTAAAATCAGGAACAAGATAAGGACGCCCACTATCACCAATCTTATTCAATGTAGTTCTGGAAACATTAGCCAGAACAATTGGACAAGAGAAAGAAATAAAAGGAGACATAGGAATAGGCAAAGACTTCATGAACAAAACCCAAACTGCATGAGAAATACTACAACTGGGACCTCACCTTACTAAAAAGCTTTTGCACAGCAAGAGAAACCACCAACAGAGTGAAAAGACAACCCACAGAGTAGGGAAAAATTTTTACCAGCTATTCAGATAATGAACTATTATCTAGAATACACAAGGAACTCAAAAACATCAGACCCCCCAAATTTAAAGAACCAATGCAAAAATGGGTATCTGAAATAAAAAGATACTTTTCAGATAAAGAATTAGAAACAGCAAATGAATATATGAAAAAATGTTCAACATCACTGGTCATTTGAGAGATGCAAATTAAAACAATGCTGAGGGCCGGGGATTGAGCTCAGTGGTTCTGCCACCTGCCTTGCAAGCACAAGGTCCCGAGTTTGATCCCTGGTACCAAACAAAACAAAATCAAACAAACAAACAAATAAAAACAATGCTGAGATTCCACCTCACTCCAGAAAGAATGGATGCTATTAAGAAATCAACCAGGGCCGGGGATTTAGCTCAGTGGTTTCGCCTCCTACCTCACAAGTGCAAGGTCCCAAGTTTGATCCTGGGTACCAAAAGAAAAAAAGAAAAGAAAAGAAATCAAGGGCTGGGGATTTAGCTCAGTGGTTCCACCGCCTGCTTTGCAAGCCCAAGGTCCTGAGTTCAATCCCCGGCACCAAAAAAAAAAAAAAGAAAGAAAGAAAGAAAGAAATCAGCCAATAACAAATGCTGTCAGGGCTGTGGGGAAAAAGGAACGCTTCTCCACTGCTGGTGGGAGTGTAGACTGGTGCAACCTCTGTGGAAATTAGTGTGGAGGTTTCTCAAAGAACTAAAACTAGATGTTCCATTTGATCCAGCTATAACTCTTCTTGGTATCTTCCTGAAAGAATTAAAAGAATCATACCACAGTGATATATGCACACCCATGTTTATACCAGCACAGTTTGTAATAGCTAAAGCTTGGAAACAGCCCAAGTGCCCATCAAGTGACAAGTGGATAAAGAAGATGAGGGTTTGTTATACAATGGAGTACTACTCAGCCGTAAAGAAGCATGAGCTTCAGACATTTATAGCTAAATGGATGCACCTTGAGACTATACTCTTAGGTGAAATAAATTGGAAACACAAGTGAGAAACTGATGTGGAAATAAGGACTGAGATGTATAATGGATGTTGGTGTAAGACCGAGGGCCTTACCAAACCCTCTGAGGAGCTGACTGCAGCGAAGAACACCCGGGGATCCCAGCGGGGCCTCCAAAATGTAAGACCAAGACCGAGGGCCTTACCAAACACTCCCGAGGAGCTGACTGCAGCGAAGAAAGTAAAACAGACCTTAGTCTGGCCAGACGGCACTCCCAAAGCAAAGTAGTTTAGAGAGGCGACTAGCCCAGAGTCCGAGGCTCTTTTTATAGGGAGTTGCAGGGGAAGTTAACAGGCGAAATTTACAGAAGAGGAACAAAGGTCAGTGGTCAGCTGACACGTACTGATGGTCAGCAGATGTTTGTAGATTGTTCTATAGATAGCGGTGTCCGGAACATCAGTTTTGAACAAAGAGTTGAGTAATTTACTTTGGGACCTTGTGGCTGATACAGATCTTATCTAGTGTCCCGAACTAACAAGCATCTTTATCTATTTACTCACATTCAATCACAGTTGGGGCTAGGGGAGTTTTATAATTACAGAGTTATGCAGTCCC